ACATACACACAGACACACAAACATGCACACAGACACACACAGAAAAATACAAACATACACAAAAACACAAACATACACACAGCTACACACAGAAACACACAAAACACACTCATGGACAGATGCACGCACAGACTCATACCCACAGCCATTTCCATCTAAAAGGACAAGGGCAGCAGATATATGGGAACACCATCCTTTGCAAGTTCTGCTCTGAGCCACTGACCATTCTGACTTAGGAATATAACACCCTTCCTTCAGTGTCATTGGGTCAAACTCCTGGAATTGCCTCCCTAAGGGCATTGTGGGTCTAGCTTCAGCACATGGCCTGCAGCAGTTCAAGAAGGCAGCTCACCACCACCTTCTCAAGGGGCAACTACAGATGGGTAATAAATGCTCAATATTCCCAGCAAATAGCACCCACATCCAGTGAGAGAATTAATAAAATGTTGGTTGTGCAGGAAGTGGTGTCAATCAAGCAGGTTGTTTCGTCCTGGATGGTGTCAAGCTTCTTGAGTGTTGTTGGAGCAGCCCCCATCCAGGCAAGTGGGGAGTATTCCATCACACTCCTTACTTGTTCCTTGTATTTGATGCACACTTACAGTCTGCAGTGTGTACCATCTCTAAAATGCCCTGTCTCACCGAGTTCCTCTGACAGCACATGCATAATCTGCTAATGACACCACGTAGAGGGAAAAAAGGACCTCCACCAAATACACCACCGTTGTTCCTCTCCAAGTCACACATCATTCTGATTTGGAAATATATTGCTGCTCCTTCAGTGTCACTGAGTCAAAATCTCCCTTCCCCACAGCACTGTGGGTGTATGGGTGTATCCACAGTGGTGGTTCTAGCACTGACCTTTGAATGCCACAAAAGAATAAAAAATACAAAAAGATACAAAAAGGAGAAGTCAGAAAACAAAATTAAATTTGAACTTCTTCATATCACTACCGATAATTTGCTTTTGGCTGCAATGTATGTTCCTAAAATGTATGAGGTCAGTTGAGAAAAGAGGAGAAAGTGTGGGAGAAACTCAATGGGTCCAGCAGAAGCCACGGGAGAGAATGAGAAAGAGAGAGAGAGAGATAATGTTTCAGGTTGAGATGACCCTTGATTGGAATTGAGACAAGATAGAAATGGAACAGTTTTGGGGCAGCTTTGGGAGGAGAAACAAAAGGGTCGGTTTGTGATGAGGTGGTACAGATTGCCACTTGTGAGATGCAATTGGTGGGCGGTGTGCATTGGCTAGTCAGCTCCAGAGATTATTGTTTCACAGCCCAGCTCTTCCTCCCCAGAACCCACCACAGACTGACTCATGAACAGTGGTACATGTGTGAAGATTTGGCCCGGTTATTTACTCACCCAGCACCCAATCATGTGACAGGCAGTGACTGTACGTTGGCATGGCACATGGTATGTTGGCCTTCATAGTTAGAGGATTTGAATTTAGGAGCAGGGATGCCTTGCTTCAACAGCACAGGGCCTTGGTAAGACCACACCTGGAGCATTGTGTGCAGCTTTAGTCTCCTCATCTGAGGAAGGATGTTCTAGCATTGGAGGGAGTGCAACAAAGGTTTACCAGACTGATTCCTGGGATGGCAGGAGTGACATATGAATACAGACTGGATCAGTTAGGATGATATTCACTGGAGTTTAGAAGAATGAGGGGTGATCTCATAGAAACCTATAAAATTCCAAACAGAAGGATGTTCCTGATGATGTTCCTGAAACCAGAGGTCACAGTCTAAGGATACAGGGTAGGACAGTTAGCACTGAGATGAGGAGAAATTTCTCCACCCAGAAAGTGGGGAGCCATGGAATTCTCTGTCACATGAAAATGCTGAGGCCAAATCATTGAAGACTTTCATGAAAAATGTAGATGCAGTTCTTACAATTAAAGGGATCCATGGGTATGGGCAGAGAGTAGGAACATAGTACTGAGTTGGATGATCAGTCAATGTCATATTTCCTAGCAGAGCAGGCTCAAAGGGCTGAATGGCCAACTCCTGCTCCTATTTTCCATGTTTCGTTGTCTCTATGTGACACACTCCTGCCTGGCTGAACACTGGATGGGTTTTAGGGTACCTTGCTGGCAAGAGAATTAAAGACCTTCCCATGGGATGAGACACACGCGCAGGTCTATCTCGATCTCAATGGCTGTGCCTCTGCTGCCTTTCTCCTGATGTACCCATCGCAGGATGAAGGTGGTGTCAACCTCTCAAAACAGTGGTGCAGCAGGACTGTGTGTTCACTGTGACACCTCTGCAGGAACAGGAAGGCAGTGTGTGTGAGAGGGGCTTGGGACAAGACTCTGGTTCAGGCAGATACTGAAACCTGGGCATTCCCACCAGCCCTGCAGCTTTCTTATTGGCTGTCTACAATGCCCCCACCCGATCTGGCATTACAGTCAATGGAGCCCAATGCGTGGCCCTGGCAGTGAATGGGGCATTGTCTGTTTGATCCCGTCCCCCATACAGTCAACACCCTCTTTCCCTGGACGTCTGCCTGAAGGGAGATAGAGATGTACTGTTAAAGGGGCCAGAGGATTCTGGAGCCTGGTGGATATGTTCCAGATGAATTCCAAGTCGTGTCTTCTGGGTCAACGAGGTTTTCTGGAAAGCAGTCTTCAAACTTCCTGTTATTATTTGATTTAGAGTCATAGAGCTATACAGCACCCTTCGGTCCAACTCGTCCATGCTGACCAGATATCTTAAAAAATCCAGTCCCATTTGCCGCATTTGACAGATATCCCTTTAAGTCCATCCTATTCTTATACCTATCAAGATGTCTTTTAAATGTTGTAATTGTACCAGCCTCTACCATTGCCTCTGGCAGCTCGTTCCATACAATTCACTGCGTGTGCATTGGAGCTGCACTTCAGAGCAAGGGCCAGGGCAAGTTTGGCTTCAGTTGTCTTGGAGGTAGCAGAGAAGGGAGGTGAGGGAAAGGGGCAGGGCAGTGTGCTGATCTTGGGCAAAGATAGTGATGTCCTGGATGGGCACAAGGGCATCCGCAAGCAGAGAACCGTCTGGATGGATACTACATGATGATTGTACACTCCAGCCCAGTGACCGGAGCTGCTGGGGAAACTCGGGAAATGTGTGAGTGTCTTCTGTGTGTCCTACTCTCTGGCTGTCAATATGTTCACACATCGACAGTAAAGCTGCTCTTTTCAACCAAGTCTGTGACTGAACAGAATGAAGTCACAAAGCTCGACTGTTACACAACGCCTTTCACAATCTCTCGGCAGGTACCTCACGGTCACTTCAGGCATAATCGCTGTTGAATGTAGCAAACTCCCCTTGGCATCTTCAATCTGGTGCCAGGGCACCTGGCAGGGCAGAGGAGATCACAGTTTAATGTCTGGTGGATGCCTAGGTTTTTATGCTGCAGTGTTGGAAACATTGTTGAGAGAGAGGGGATGGGAGAGGGTGAGAGAGAGAGCTGGAGGGGGAGAGAGTGACGGTGAGAAGGGGAGAGAGAGAGAGAGACAGAGAGAGCGAGAGAAAGGGAGAGAAAGAGAGAGAAGGGAGAAACAAGGGGGGAAGGGAGAGGGAGAGGGGGACAGAGAGAGGTAGTGAAGGACAGGAAGAGAAAGAGCGAGGGAGAGAGGGAGACAGAGAGGGAGGAAAAGAGAGGGGAAGGGTGGGGAGAGAGAGGGAGTGAGGGGGAGAGGTAGGAGGGAAGGAGGGAGAGAGAGAAAGGGAGGCCGGGGAGAAAGTGAGAGGGAGGAGGGCGAGAGAGAGAGAGGGAGGGAGAGAGAGTGAGAGGGAGGAGGGAGGAAGAATCCTGCAAACCCATCAACTGTGTCTCATGACAGCTCATACACACTCATGTGGCCTAATTGAATCTCCACGCGACATTCAATGCAAGTTCTTTGCTTCACTTCCTGCTTTCAGATCTATTTTTGGAAACGTCTCCTTAGTTCAATACCAACCACTCTGCCTCAGTCACTTCATTCAAGGCTTACTCCAGTAACATAAAACTCAGTCTACCCACCATCTACAAGGCACAAGTCAGGAGTCTGATGGAATACTCCCCACTTGCTTGGATGAGTGCAGCCCCAACAACACTCAAGAAGCTTGACACCATCCAGGACAAAGCAGCCCCTGCTTGATTAGCGCCATATCCACATGCATCCACTCCCTCCCCCACCGACACCCAGTAGCACCAGTGTGTACCATCTACAAGATGCACTGCAGAAATTCACCAAAGATCCTCAGACAGCACCTTTCAAATTCACAACCACTTCCATTTAGAATGATTGGGGCAGCAGATATACAGGAACACCAGCTCCTGCAAGTTTCCCTCCAAGGCTATCACCACCTTGACTTGGGAATATATTGCAATAAAAACCAAAAGAACTGCAGATGTTGTAAA